CTGTTCCAACTGCTAGTTGCCTCACATTCCATTACCTAAGTTCCACTCCTTCACTCAGGAGTAGCCTGGGGCTCCTTACAGTTTGTAACTAGCTGGATACAGCATGGGTATCCAGCTAGTTACAAATGTATTTTATTCTTTCCTGAACCACTATACTAAGGAAGGTAGGGACGATGCTCAGAGAGATGCTCTCTCAGAACTTGACTGCTTGCACCACAATAAGCACTGACAGCTTCCATAATAAACCCTTCCTGTTGCATGAGGCTAGGCTGGATTAGTATGTGTGGTTACTGAGCTTCATTTTACTGTCACTTCCTATTTGGACTGGGCACAGAATCTTAATGTTAGGTTATGTAAAATGTTGGATGAAATATTTTGTGATAATATTATTGGTGATATTAGTATTACTAATCATTTGTAATAACATCAATAATTTTATGTACAAATGAGAATTACAGAAATTAATATTAAATATCAAAAATATTCCATATTATTAGTTATTACTTTCTGTAATACTGATTTACATACAATTATGTTTTAAATGAACAATGAGGTAAGGTCGTATTTAGATTTTGTATGTAAACGATATCATACAATATGAAGAGAATATACTGGAGTATCTCCAACAATTACAGTATTAGCTCTGCAGCAATGACCACATTAGTATCTCTGCAGGAAAATCCTGATCAGTAGGCAGTAACATCTCCCAGGTATTAATTGCTGATGTTACTTCTCTTCCAAATTCCAAAGTTAACAGTAAAGCTGTTTTAATTTAATATAAGAGGAACAATTTTCTCCTCTTGTAACTAATGCTTTCTCTGTAAATTACTAACTAGACACTGCTTCTGAGAACATTCAATATCTGGAAAAAGAAATCACTTTCAACACTTACGAACACAGATTAAATCTGACCAAAATATTGTACTTTTTATCCCAAAATAAAGACTTTTTATTGATGAAACTTTGGTTGTTTAAGATATTGTAGTGCATTACATGTTAGGTATTTCTATAAATATTCCTAAATCAGACATATTCAATTCTTAAAATGTTTAATACTTACAGATTTACCATTCATCAGATTTGGTATAAATGTGGCAAAAGCCTGAACTCTGGTTTGATGGTAATTTACTGTGCATAAGTATTCAGATATAATATATAGAATATTTAGTAATGGACAAATGATATTCCAAGATCATCATAATCTTGATAATGAGCAACTGATTAATGATCACAGAATACAATTGTATAAGATACAATATATTTGCTCAGAGTGCTAATATAATCTAAATATGTAAAATATAAGCATAGCAAGGATCATCTTTCTGCCAACATATCTGCTACACAAGAGAGAATACAGATTAGGCAAATCATTCTAGTGCCAGCGGTCACAGAAGCCAATGATATCTGGGGCCAAAGCGTGCCAGAGATTCCAAATTATAATATGAAATCTGTCTTTTTACCCTTGTGCAAAGTGAAAAATCTAGTTAAAACTATGGTAGCACCTAATACTCTTTATCACTATTGTGACTATGCCAGATAAATAGAGTACAAGTGTGGCCATTTTATCTTTCAAGGCCATCATGGAGAACAGCAACCAACTATAAAAGCATTAAAAGACCTAATGTTTAAATTCAGATTAAACAGCTCTCAATCTCATTGCAACCATTACAATATGTATGCTTTCCAAATTTAACTGTTTACAACTGTATGGTAGCTCCACTGTTCTCCATTCCTATTTTCAAGAGTTCATAATATTGAATTAATGTATTTTTTGCACTATAAGATGTACTCCCCCCCCCCAAAAAAAAAGTGGGTGGAAATGTCTGCATCTTATAGAGCAAATATTGCAGTGGGAGGAGGGGGTTGTTGCGATGGTGGCATTCCCTGCTGCTTCCTGTCACCACCACCACCATTCACCACTGCCGGGGAACGCTGGAGCCTTCACTGCCAAGCAGCTGATTAGCAGTTGGATTTGCCTCCTGGAATACCACTGATCAGCTGTTCTAGGTAGCAGGGATTGCTGCCGTCACTGCCGATCGCCGCTACCAAATGGCGGCAAGTAGCAGTGGCAGCAATCTCCACCGCTTAGAACAGTTGATCAGTGGTATTGCAAGAGGCTGATCCAACCGCTAATCAGCTGTTCGGCAGCGAAGACTCCAGCATTCCCAGGCGGCACCGGCAGCAGCACAGGTCAGTTGACTGGTAGTGGCCGGAAAAGAGCAAAGCCCTGATGAGCCATGTGCTGAGGCTGCGATAACATGCTGAAGCTGACCAGGCTGCTTGCTGTTTCGTGCAAGGATGCTAGCCAGATGAATACCAGATGGATGCTGGGAGGCAGAGGCAGAATTTTTTTTTTTGCTTTCCTCCTCTAAAGCTAATGTGCGTCTTATTGTCCAATGCGTCTTATAGTGTGAAAAATATGGTATGTTCGAGAGGGCAAAGGTAAAGATGATACATGTAGCACACTGTGAACTAAGATAAATACCTGTGATAACCTGTAGGAAGATAAAGTCAAATAAGTGCATCCACTTGATTCTGAGGTGAAAATGGATAACTAAATAAAGCAGAGTATGCAAAATCTCTTATTTGTTCCAAGATTGTAGTAGCCATATTGAAACTAGAAATTGTACCTCAGCTGAACAATCTGCTACTATACAACACTGTAGTATAGTTTTAAAATAATGTATAGAATAAATTACAACAAAAATATAGACGCACACTTGCAGAAAGTATTTCAGCATATTTAGTCAAACTAGAAAGATTGATTTTAGGACTGAAGACAGACTATACAAACAAATTAACCAGTATTATTTTAATACTTTGTTCCTTATTTAATGTTAATTTTCACTACTAAAATAATTCAAAGACCTAGATTGACTTTAACCAGAATTTCTCTTAAGTCTTGTGAATATCTTGGGATGGTTGCTTTGATACATTACCATTTCCCCTGGTGGTCTTGAAGTAATATCTTAGTGTCTTTCAAGCTTCTTAGTATCATTAGAAACGCTTGATCTTTAACATATTACAAAAAGTGTGACTGGATTCTATATTTTGAACTGTTAATTTGCACCTTAAATACAAGTTACTCTACATTAAAGTCACATGACATTCATGTTACAACTTATTCAACTTTCAGTTTGTTGTTTTTTTTCCTATTGCATAATGTGCAGGAAAATAAGCATCCTTATCATGTCCATGCCATACTGTGCCAGGTGGTAATTTTTGCTAATATATTAATTAATAGCTTTCACTAAAATAAACCAAAAGAGTGTAAGTGTTTTCAAAATAATAAATGTATACTAATACCTGACACTAAAAACTTATTTTATAGTCACTAAAAAATAGGACAGGCAATCCTCGGCTTACAACCATTCATTTAGTGACTGGTTGTAATCACTAAATGACTGTTCAAAGTTACAACAGCACTGAAAAAAGTGACTTGATTATTTTTAAAACTTATGACCATTGTAGCATCACATGTCAGTTGGATGCTAGGCAACTGACATGAATTTATGATAGTTCCAGTGTCCTGATCATGTGATCACCTTTTGCAACCTTCTGACAAGCAAAATCAATGGGGAAGCCAGATTCACTTAACAACCATGTTACTAACTTAAAAGGGATTCACTTAATAATGGTGGCAAGAAAGGTCTTAAAATGGGGCAAAATTTACTTAACACTATCTTGCTTAGCAAAGGAAAATTTGGGATGAATTGTGATCGTAAATTGATGACTACTGGTACTTTAATGAATGTAACTTGGATAGCAAAAGCATTGATGTGAACATATTACAATATCTGAATATTCTACTTTAGTTTCTACTTGAGAAAGATAGGTATTATGGCATGCTTAACATTTAAAGAGTATCTGCCTTTATGCCACAAAAACTTCTAATACAAGCTAAAGCTAAAATAGTACAGAATGCCTATGCAATCCAACATAAGTCTTATGTTGAAAAAAGAAGTTTTCACAAGAAGCCTAGACTTCTCATTGTACCTTTCAGGAAATGATTGACATGTTTTAGATGACATTAATCACAAATTTGATCACACCAAAATCTTAGTTACGACTTACCTTGTGTACCACTGATTTAAAAAGTTTGATTTGTATGCAACCCCCGGTACACATTCCATTATGGTACTAATGGAATGTAAAACTACAATACCCTGTATTTCCAATTTTTTGTGTTAAATACTTAAAATTAAATTGTGTATTCTTAAAACTGGAACATTCTTGCTTAAATATATTTTAAAACATACAAAGCAAATAAAGATACATTGCTCAGATACAATCAGTTATATTTTATGAAGGGTGAATATAACAATTACCCAAAGGAATCCTCAATAAAATGTGCATCTGCTTGCCATGTAAAGTTGGAGGTTTATATTATAGCTTCAGAATACTAAAAAATTACTTCACTTAAGTATTACTTTCCTCAGAATGACAAGCAAAAAACTAGCTGCATCATTAGCTACAGCATTCATTTTTTAAAAACTGAAATATTTGCCCAATTTTAAATCATATTACAATAAAAAAACCATCTAAGCGTAGATAGTGAAGATAAAAAATGATTCATTTTTTAAATTAAATGATTTATTAGAGAACTAATGACTAAGGTACTTCTGATCAGACATGGAAATATCTGCTATCTTCAGACATCAAATTATATAGTACTATAAAGCAGTGTTGGAGACAATAAGTCAATAGTACTGTTTGAGATGGATGTGCAGTATCTGCACATTTCTTAGTTTCAAATATATAATAGTGCAATGAGAAGGTTGTTGTCAGAATAAATTCAACAATTTTTAAAAACACTTTACAAGCTAAGATGGCCTATTTATTGATAAATTTCTTAAAAACCAATGCTTTGGGCAAAATTTAATAAAATCTGAAACATGTAAATCAAAATTTCAGTCTTCGAAGAATTAGCAACACTAAAGTAACTAATATTAAAGAAAGCATGTTCATAAAATTTTCTTGAGAAATTTAAAATGTCTTACCTTTCCAGTCTTGTGGTCAAACCAGACAAGTGCATGATTCCTAGACAGGACTTTACAGTCAAAGGTGGCATTATTTTGAGCCGGTCGACATCGAGCCACTGATCGTCCAATTTTGACAGGCTCATCCAGGTAGACATGGCGTTCTTGAAATGGATGAGAGTTCGGGCGGCAAGTAAAGATAGCCAAGGCTGAAGGCATTGAGGATAGATATGTGGTGCCACACCAACCAGGAAAGAAGAGAAACTCTTCTTGATCCAAGTCCCCCTCCACAGTTGATAAGCAAAGCTCCCACTATACTTCACATTAAAGCAGGACAAACATTACCTGCCATCAAGGTCTAACAACTCATACCTCCAGTCTGTGAACTAAGGCAGGCAATAATCCAACAGAGAAGCCCCATTGTTTTCTTTAAAAAAAAAGGTTTGTAGCAAGTTTAAGAAGTTCCACTTTAATCCATCTCCCTCAATGATGTGAATAAGCATATACCACTCCAAAGAGAAACAGAACTTGTTCAAATTAAGGTGGAGATAGTTATAAATCCAAGTGAATGACTCACACAAAAAATACTTGTTTGGGATGTGCGCACTTTTATCCTCTTCCGTAATCACTTGCCCAAGCTCTTCTTCACCAGAGAAGCAATAAAAATTTCAAGAGAGTGGGACTGAAGAGGTTCACAAGACAGGAGTTAAGAACTGGAGAATGATCCAGGGATAAGTCTGTGGTTCATCGTTTCACACATCAGCAGGATCAGGAAAGGGAGGATGCCTTGCTAAAAAAAAAAACCAGGTTCTCCCCCTCCCTAGGCAGCATAGGCCCAGGCTCCAATTTTCAAGGAGCCAACGGAAACCCCAGTGCGATCATCAAGGAAATGCAAGTATTTCCCCATACATCTTAGCGCAATACACCTGGCTACATATCCGAGCCACTGAATAACACGGGGCTCCTCCAGCAGAGAGAGAGAGAGAGAGAAACGGACAGGAGGCTGATCAGCCAGATGCGGACGTCGGGTGAAAGCAGGGGTCTATTGGGGTCCCTTCCACTGAGGGTCTAAACCGACGCAGATAACTTATCGGGGAAAGGGGGAGAAAGCCGTCCGGCGGCTCTCGCTGTGGTCTCGGGGCAAACGGCGGCAGAATCTCCTCAGGAAACTGGGAGGGCGAAGGCCGGTGGCACCGCGGGCGACGAAGACTCGGGAACTGCAGGTGGCAGCGAAAGGGCGAAAAATTTCACTCCCTTCCTGAGGCGCCTTTTGCTCTCGCCCTGCCGGAGCTCCGTCCCGCTACCGCCCCGGGAGAGGCCTGGAGGCCGGACGCCTTACGAGCTGGGTGTCAAGCGGCCGCCGTCCACGAAAACTTTCCCTCGACCTGTGAAATCAAAACAAACCCGGTCAGCCTCCGGAGCTCAGGCGGGCCCCGGCTCAGCCGCCCCTCGCGGGGTTTCTCGGCTCGCTCAAGGCGCGCCAGGGCGAAAGGGCAGCGGGACGCGAGAGTCTCAGCGCCCTCCGCCCGCCCGCCTGCTCTCCCGCGCGCTCTTACCTTCCCAGCAGCAGCAGGAGCGGCCATACTGACTGGAAACCTACCCGGTGTAGCAGCCGCCGCCGCCGCCGCTGCCGCCGCGCTGCCGGGGAGGGGAAAAGGGAATGAGAGGGGTGGAGCTGCCTTGCAATGGGCCTGACCAAAAGAAAGGCTGACGGCCGGCCAGCCGTTCTGCGCAGGTGCAAACTGGGAACGCGCGACAGGGAGACATGCGCAGAGGGAATCGCTGAAGCTCTTGGTTGGAGACTGGCAAGCCGCGGTTGCCCGTACTCTGGGAATGCGCTGCTGGCGCTGTTTCCGGGTAGTTAAAAAAAAAGAAGAAGGGTAAAAGCTCACCAGAGGACTAAATGGAAAGGCCCCGGCCCCTAAAGAAAATTTAAGTTCTGCAGATACTGGGGGTGGGGGGTGGGTGTTCCCCCAAAGAAGGGAGGTAGGGGAGAAAGCATGTTGAATGGCAAGGGGTGGAAAAGCGGGCAGCCAATAGGTTTACCTGAGAAGACGGGAAATCTAAAGCAAAATTGGATATCGTTACTCCACGGAACGAGTGGGAAAACTTTTATTTTACACCTTTAAAAATTGCGAAATCGTTGCAGCAAGAAATCGAGGCGGAGACCTTGTCCAGTATTGATTTGCCTGGGAGTAATTTCACATAGAATAGAGGTTTCTTATTATATCAGTATATATATATTGTTTATTAAGCAGTTTATACGATCCCTGAGATTTATTCCAGTGTAAGTGCGGATCAGTTTGCAGATAGTTCTTTAGTCCTTCGTTCCCTTTGCCACAAATGCCTCCTGCATTTTCATCAATGATACCAGACATGTCAAACCAAACAGTATTTAAAATTATCTTGAACTGGAAGGTTGGGTACAAATCAACAAGAGCAACATTAGCAAAACCAAGGTCAAACTTAAATGTTGAGGAAACAACGGTACAAGGGCAGGAGATAACTGGTTACAGAACATCATTTAAATTAGTTGGGCTAGAGTCCAATTCTGCTTTGTTCATGGAGGGGAGAGTAAGTTCCACTGAACGAAAAAAGGCTGCATTTGTGCAAGGCGCCTATAGTTAACTGGATTGTTACTCAGCCCAATTTCCTGAATTCACATGATGCATTAATTGATCCAGGAACTGCGCTCACACAACATGCTAAATTAAAATAACTAATTTATGACTGTCATGCAAATATAGTCACTTGGTAATATTTATCGCATTGTTTTTAAATTAATCTGTTTTTTCATATTCAACATTCAAACCAGTTAATTAAAAAATTAAACACTGGCTCTGTTGACATGAACACATTGAATATGGAATACCTGTCTAGATTATATGAGCTCTGCTAATGAGTAATTACATAGTTCATATCCTTTGAATCCAATAAGGTAACAATGGTTAAGTATGTCATTGTAAACACACCTATTTAAATATATATAATTTTGTAACAACGATAAAATCCCAATTACAATTGCTCAAGTATTTTCAAATCACAATAGCTGGTCTTAAACGTAAGCATCCTCTCTCAATTACAGTCCTTCCTAAAAATCGTTGCCAACACTTTTCCTTTTTTCCATATAGATTACAATCCTGATGTCAGGGTCTAATTGCAAAATGCAAAATATGCTATTTTCTTACTTCTCCCCTTTCTGGAATATATATAATTCTTTACAACAATAGAGATTTATTTACCACATTTTTCCGACTGTAAGATGCACCAGAGTATAAGACACACAAAGATTTTGAAAAGGTAAATTTTTTAAAAAAGTTTTTGCCCTCCCCGGCCCCCAGGAGTACTCTGCAAACCTCTCAAACCATCTGCACACACCGTTTTTTGTGAAAAAGGGGCATGCAGAGAGTTTGGGAAGCCTGCAAAGTGCTCCTGGGAGCTGGGAAGGGCAAAAACAGCCCAGTTTTTGTGAAACACGGGCCCATTTTTGCTCGTGTTTGCCCTCCCCAGCCCCCAAGAGCACTTTGCAGGCCTCCCAAACCCTCTGCACATCCATTTTTATGAAAAACGGGATCCATGAGGCAGGGTTTCGGGAGGCCAAAAATGCTGTATTCAGTGTATAAGACACCCCCAGATATTCACCCACTTTTTTGGGGGGGGAGGTGTGTCTTATACTCAGAAAAATATGGTAATATATCTAAATCTTAAGCAAGTCCAGTTTTAGATATGTAAAAGCAATTTAAAATCAAGTTGAAGATTTCACTTCTAAGTTTCAGATGTCCAAAATAGTAACAATTTCAAGATTATATGATGCATTAAGCCTCAGATAAAGCTCCAAATGTGATTAAGAATCCATATAGGTCTTTACTGATCCATTTTTGTGATTTAGTGTGAATAACAAATGATTTGATCACAGTGTCTAGACTCAATTCACGTTTGTCTAGTTTCTGTTCATATACAGTTAGGAGTTATGGCTACAGTTGGGATTGGAACTTCTGTGGCTAAGTGAAATGGTCATTAAGTGAATGATTTTACCAGAGTTTTTACCACAGCTTTTTTGCTGTGGTTGTAAATCTTGCAGTCATTAAGCAAATTCAGTTTCCTCCCCATTGAATTTGCTTTGTTGGAATCCAGCTGGCACGGTGGCAAATGGCAGTTATGGGACTCTGGGCCAATGCAAGTATGTTAAACACATGTCGATTGCAAAATGCCCAAGTGACTGTTGGTTAAATTACGATTTAGGAATTATTTTCCTCATAAACATTTTGTAGGACAGAAAGCAATACAATCGCAAACCAGAGTAGTCATGTACAGTATTTCCTCTGTCTGTTTTTCGCTGCTGTTTCCATCCCCAGGTGCACAAGGAGCTATTTTCAAAACAAAGAGGCTAGGGAGTGAATTAGTTTTGCATGCATGTTGCCTCACTGAACTACCATGATTTGTTTGTTTCAATAATTGAAATAAATAAAAACAAATAAAAAGGAATGATTGACCTACTAAGCGCAACAAAATTTACTAGGTTACCAAGTGAAACAGTGAATTGTCAAAACATGTCTGTAGTTTGCTAGGTGGAGCCCTTAATGATGATTAATGCTGAATTTGCCTTACTTTGTCATATAAACAAGCCAGCTGTGTTCATACCAGCGCATTAATCTACAACCTAACTAAATGCATTACGCTAAGTGCACAGCTTCAGAAGAATTGCTTTGGACTTTGCTCAAACATAGCACCTTGGTATGCTTTATTAAATCATGCAAACCTTTTTCCCCGGCTTCCATGAGAGTCTGAGAAATATGCTGCTATTTTTAAGAATTGCATGCAACATATACTGCTTTAATAATTTACTGCATTACAGCAGTAGCAAAGGCATCCTGAGAATTGAGAACTTTTATCAAAAAGTTGAACATAACATCACATCATTGCAATGCAACCTCTCCCTCTTCCATGCCTGCTTGTTTATAACAGGCACAGCTTGCACAGAAGAGGCAGAGCTTGTATTGCCTCACTGCAAGGCCATTTTCATCATTTGCCCTTCCTTCTGGATGCTCTTAAGCAGCAACATCATTTTCACACTTGCACAAAAAAATCTGAAAAAAGACACTCAGATTTTAATGAGCTACCGAAAGGTGTTATGCTCATTCAAGATCCAAAGCACTTCTTTTTTAATCATTTCTGAAGCAATTACATTCAGTTAAGTGTTTTATGCAGTGTCAACTGAGATGGTCAATTTATGGTCTGTTGTGATGTATAAAACCAGAAAAGTTAGTCATTGTTATAAAACATAGATAAAATAGCAATGATACGTTGGACAAAATCGTGACCCGTCAAATGCGCGCCCGACAAAACCGTGCTGACAAAACCGCGCCGAGAAAAGAGCGAGGTCAAAATTGCGCCCACAGAAGCGCGCCGATAAATGCGCACCGATGAAAGCACGATTAGGGTTAAGGTAAGGGTTAGGGTTAGGGTTATTACGTTGTTTTCGTGTTGTTTCTTGATGGCGTGCTTTCATTAGCGTGCATTTATTGGCGCGCTTCTGTGGGCGCGATTTTGACCTCTTTTCTCACCACGCTTTTGTCAGCACGCTTTTGTCAAGCGCGCATTTGTCGGTGAACAGAACAAAATTAGCCCCTTTAAAACATCTGACTCTAGATATGCCTAGAGCAGTGACGTGCGGTGAGGTTTATGGCTGGTGAGGCAGCAATTTAGACTTGTGGACTTCAACTCCCAGAATTCCACAGCCAGGCATGCTCAGTTCCGATTTAAAGTGACAGCATTTGTTTTTCTCCTTTGCTAAATAAGTTTCCTTCTTTCTTTTTCTTTTTCTTCTCCCTTCCCCTCCTTCCTCCCTCTCTCCCTCCCTCCTCCCTCTCTCAAACACATACACACACAAAGTTGCACCAGGAGGATGACGTTTGAATTCCTCCCCCTCCCTCCAACCCATACATACCTTTTCCAGCTGTTTCAGAGAGGATTTCAACTCTGCTTTTGCCTGCCATCATGAAAAGAAAAAAAAGGAAAAGGAAAAAGGCAAGAGCTGAGGAGAGCTAGTTGCTGCCAGAGTCACCGTGGATGACTCTGCTTAACTGTTTAAAAAAGCCTCTAAAAAAGCACCCTCTACAGGAGGAGGCAGGAGAACAACGTGCCTCATCTACGTCAGGAATTGTTCGGCTTTTAACACTTGTTTAACTCTGCTCAAGTGATCATAAAAAGTCAGACTAGATGAGACATGTCGTTCTCCTGCCGCCTTCTGTAGAGGGTGCTTTTTTAGAGGCTTTTTAAACAGTTAAGCACTAAGCAGAGTCATCCACGGTGACTCTGGCAGCAACTAGCTCAGCCAGACCTCAGCTCTTGCTTTTTTCCTTTTACTTTTTCTTTTCTTTTCATGATGACAGTGGTGAGGCTCTGCTTCCCCTGCCTCCCCTGACTGCACGTCCCTGGCCTAGAGTCAGATGTTTTAAAGGAAGGCATAGAAAGGATAGGTAACTTGGTGCTCTCTATAGCTACCTAGAGGGCACCACATTACCTATCTTTTCCCTATGCTTTATTAACCTACCCTGTTTTCCTGAAAATAAGACCTCCCTGGATAATAAGCCCAATCGGACTTTTGAGCGCAACTGCTAAAATAAACCTTCCCCTGAAAATAAGCCCTCCCCAAAAATATTGC